ACAAAAAGAGTCATTTTCTGCCTGTGTCACTAAGGGTTCACATGTCCACAAAGTGTGCATTCCCAAATACTGTCAAAACGGTGCCAAATACTTCCCCAGCTCAGGCTGGACCCCCCATAAATGTAGATCACGTGCCTACGGTCATGTACGCACCAGTACACACAAGCACTGTTCACACGGTTATAAATTCATCCCCAGTAAAAGCGGGAAACATTATAAAGGTGACGCGTGTGCCTACCACTGTTTATGCACCCCCACTTATAAGCACTGTCCCTACAGTGTCAAACCCAGCCCCAGCTCAGGCTGCGAGCGTTACAGACACAGCGCGCGCTGTTGTAAACACACACGCGCCCCTACACTCAGCTGCTCAGCGCGCGCCCGCGCCTCTGAGAGCTACGAGCTCAGGCGATTCGCTGGCCGGGTCCCTACGTCACAGCGGCCCGCCCCTAGCCTGTATTCAGCCCATATCTGTGCATGCAGCGGCATGGGAAAGCATTCCAGATATCCAGTTCGCTCGCAGACCACCACGCTTTGCGACTGTGGTCGAGACGAAAGTGAGAAAAGAGTGTTCACATGTTCTACGCACCGAGGTGCGCAAATTAATAGAAAAGGGCGCTGTGGAAACTGTTCCTCCCTCGATGAGCGAGGCTGGTTTTTACAGTCGCTATTTTCTAGTCCCGAAAAAGGATGGCGGTCTCCGCCCCATCCTAGATCTCAGACATCTGAACAGAGCACTAATGGTTCACTCGTTCAGAATGTTGACAACCAAGCATATCCTCGCGCAAGTACGCCCAGGAGATTGGTTTCTCTCGGTGGATCTGAAAGATGCTTACTTTCACATTCCAATAGCGCCTCATCACAGGCCTTTTCTGAGATTCGCTTTCGAGGGACAGTCCTACCAGTACACAGTACTTCCGTTCGGCCTGTCACTGGCACCCCGTACATTCACGAAATGTATGGATGCAGCACTTTCCCCCCTGAGACGGCGGGGAGTGCGAATACTGAATTATCTCGACGATTGGTTGGTCCTAGCACAATCAGAGAGTCAGTTAATAACACACAGATCTTGGATTATCAGCCATTTGGAATGCCTGGGTCTAAGAATCAATTTTGCAAAGAGTATGCTATCTCCCAGCCAGAAAATTTCTTTCCTGGGAATAGTTCTAGACTCGATGCAGATGACAGCTCGTCTCTCATCAGAGCGCGCGCTCACCATCAGGCGCCTTGCAACATCTTTCAGGGCGGGCGCGCGCGCCCCCGTCAAGCGGTTTCAGAGGATGCTCGGTCTCATGTCCTCAGCATCGGCCGTACTCCAGCTAGGATTGTTGCACATGCGCCCTCTCCAACGCTGGCTCAAGAGCCGCGTCCCTACTCACGCATGGCGTTCAGGCCACTTTTTAATCAGAGCGAACCACGGCTGTATAAAAGCCCTGACGCACTGGAAGGCCGCCGACTGGTATCAGGCCGGCGTGAGTCTGGGTGTGAACACAAGGAGAAAAATGATCACGACAGATGCCTCCAAAATAGGTTGGGGGGCCCTTTACGAGGGCAGGCCTGTCTCCGGCTTTTGGTCAAACCCGGAAAAGCACCTACAAAAAAAAACTGTCTGGAGATAAAAGCGGTCGCTTTGGCTCTCAGAGCCCTGCTTCCACATCTAAAAAACGAACACGTCCTGGTCCGAACGGACAACATGACGGTAGTGTCGTACATAAATCGCCAAGGTGGACTCAGGTCGAGCTCCATGCATTCGATGGCCAGGAGACTCATCTTATGGTCCCAGCACAACTTGCGCTCGCTGAGAGCAGCGCATGTGCCAGTCGTTCTGAACCAGGGGGCGGACATGCTATCCAGAGACAAAATTCTCCCAGGAGAATGGGCTCTCAACCCTCTGACGATTCAGTGGTTATGGAAAATCTTTGGCGAGGCAGAGGTCGACCTCTTCGCCTCCAAGGAGAATGCGCACTGCCCTCTTTTCTTCACAAAAAGCACGGACGCGCTCGCCCAGAGATGGCCGAGCCGCCCCTTATATGCTTTTCCCCCGATCGCGATGCTACCACAGGTCATCACTCGGGTCAGAGAGGAGAAAAACGCAGTGCTTCTGATAGCCCCACTGTGGAAGAACCAAACATGGTTTCCAGAATTGGTGCAAATGCAATCAGCACCACGGCCGATTCCGCTGAGGCCAGATCTCCTCAGCCAGGCCAACGGGATGATATTTCACCCCCGCCCCGATCTGTGGGCCCTTCATGCATGGCCCCTCAACGGGTTCCCAGGAACCTCACGAGCGGTGCGTTAAAAACCATCGCTGAGGCGCGGGCGCCCTCTACGAGACGCTTATATGCCCAGAAATGGAAAGTGTTCAGTGACTGGTGTAATACCAAGGGCTTGAACCCTGAAACATGCGAGATTACGAACGTACTCGCCTTTCTACAAGAGCTTTTGGAGGCGGGCCGCACCCCCTCCACGCTCAAAGTGTATGTGGCGGCCATTACAGCATCACACGACCCTGTAATGGAACGTCCATTGGGAAGAAACGACCTAATTATTCGTTTCCTGAGGGGCGCTAGGAGGATGAATCCCCCACGCCCCCCCTCAGTGCCGATCTGGGACCTGGCTACGGTCCTGGACGCTCTTAAAGGGGCCCTTAAACAGCTCAAAACTGCGCTCTTGCTGGCACTCGCCTCAGTCAAGAGAGTGGGCGACCTGCACGCGCTCTCAACGAGCGCTGCCTGCATAGAGTTTGAACCTAACGACTGCAGGGTTGTCCTTAGGCCAAAACATGGGTATGTCCCTAAAGTGCTTACCAGAGCACAGGTTATCCTTTCAGAGCACAGGTTATCTCCCTAACCGCGCTATCGTCTCCAGCAGACAAACACGACGCTAATCTACTCTGCCCCGTTAGGGCTCTCAGAGTGTATCTGGAGCGCTCTGCCCTATTCAGACAGACAGGACAACTGTTTGTATGCTTTGGCGGTCGTACGAAAGGTTTCGCCGTTTCAAAGCAGAGAATCTCTCGCTGGATAGTTGAGGCTATAGCGCTGGCTTATGAAGCTAAGGGACTTCAATGCCCCTGGGGTGTCAGAGCTCACTCCACCAGGAGTATGGCTTCTTCCTGGGCATGGTAGAGCGGGATACCGATCGAAGATATCTGTGCGGCCGCAGGCTTGGCCTCACCGTCCACATTTATCAGGTTTTACAACCTACAGGTCCCGACATTGCATTCCAATGTACTATCGGCATGATGCTAGTAGAACTATGAGTTCATATCTAGATTGTGTATGTGCTTGTGTCACACTGAGCGCCTTCTGAGCCGCATATATAAAGCTCGCCTCTGCCGGCTAGTTGGATGATAACTTTGCTTTTCAGCTCAGGCACCTGCCTCTGGCTGTTATAAGGCGAAGTCAGCACGCACGGCGTTTTGCATGGTGTTCCCATAGCGTAAGCTACTTACGCAATAGGAGAGACCTCTCGAAAGGGAACGACTCGGTTACTAACGTAACCTCGGTTCCCTGAGAGGAGGGAACGAGTATTGCGTAAGCTGCCGTGCTTGTGCTTGGTTAGTTCGCTTCAGTCGATTTAACCTGAAGAACTCTCATGACGGGCGCCCAATATATAGCTCTTGGCCACGGCCATCTTGGCGGGCTCTGATGCGCGCGGGCGCGAAGCGCGCTCATTGGTCGCGCGTTCAGAGTCGCCCCGTCATTGGTTCGAGCAAGTTGCCGCAGCACAGCCAATGACCGAGCTGCCTCGCTCATTGCTGTCTGCTGTGCAGCTGCAATGCGTTTTACATAAAGACTTCAATATTTCTCGAGAAAAGGAGTTTTCCCATAGCGTAAGCTACTTACGCAATACTCGTTCCCTCCTCTCAGGGAACCGAGGTTACGTTAGTAACCGAGTCGTTTTACAACACTTGTGTGTGTTTACTCATGGTTTATGAGGACATTATTCGGTTTAATGAGGACTCATATGACTATTGTATGTGACTCAGAGATGCTCACAAGTCTCTGAGCTAGAGTCCAAGTCAAGTCTCAAGTCTCTGAGCTAGAGTCCAAGTCAAGTCTCAAGTCTCTGAGCTAGAGTCCAAGTCAAGTCTCAAGTCTCTGCGCTAGAGTCCAAGTCAAGTCTCAAGTCTCTTTATTATAATAAGTCTCTGGTTATAATAAGTGTTGCATCACATACAGCGACCCATCCAGGCTGCTTAGAACACTGTATAGCTATATATAAGGAATTCAAAGCATGTAATATGTTATTTTGACTACTTTATCTATTAGCATACAGTATTAGCTTTGATTTTGGTATATTAAAATCAAATGTATGTAAACAGGCTATTGCAACATGACAAAAACAACAAGAATGCTTTACTTTTAAGTTAATATCTGTATTTTGCCTTGGTGCATGAACACACAGTACAGTACAGACAACACCATTGCAACGAACCAAACGATGTGAAATATACTATCCACAAAAATTAACACACTACACTTCCTTATGATAGAGAATCCTTATAGAGAATTATTTGTTATTTACTTAGTGGCTGGATAGCACAACATTCAAACGCTCAACATTTTTAGAGTGAATGTAGCAACTAGCAACTGACCAACTTATGGCATGTAACTTGTTAAGAACAAAATGTTTAGAAATAATAAAATAAAAAAAATCCAAAGGATGAGATCTCAGACTGGTTAACCTTCTCAACACTTAAAGGATTAGTTCACTTTAAAAAAAACTTTTGCTGATAATTTACCCCCATGTCATCCAAGATGTCCATGTCTTTCTTTCTTCAGTCGAAAAGAAATTAAGGTTTTTGATGAAAACATTCTAGGATTTTTCTCGATATAATGGACTTCAATGGGACCCAAATGGTTCAAGGTCCAAATGACAGTTTCAGTGCAGCTTCAAAGGGCTTTAAACGACACCAGACGATGAATAAGGGTCTTATCTAGCGGAACGATCGGTCATTTCAAAAATAAATAAAAAAGTTAAAGTTTTATAACCTTTTCAATGTAATTGCGTATTACTTGACGTCATGAACACGCATCACAGAACCGAGCAAGGCGAGCATTTGTGCTTATAAAACTTAAACTTTTTTATTTATTTTTGAAATGACCGATCGTTTTGCTAGATAAGACCCTTATTCATCGTCTGGTATCGTTTAAAGCCCTTAGAAGCTGCACTGAAACTGTCATTTGGACCTTGAAGTCCATTATATGGAGAAAAATCCTGGAATGTTTATCAAAAACCTTAATTTCTTTTCGACTGAAGAAAGAAAGACATGGATATCTTGGATGACATGGGGGTGAGTTAATTATCAGCAAAAGTTTTTTTTAAAGTGAACTAATCCTTTAATACACTAGGTATGGGCCACAAAACATGTTTGGCTTCTAGGTGTCCTTCAGTGGCCTAAGAACTAGAAAAGTCTTAAGCAACAGAATGGTTACATTTCAAAAAGATCAAGCTTGACAGTGTCTTTGCACTAAGTCTGGCTCGGTGAGGGCGCATTATAAGGCCTCCATGACTAAATACCCTTTCCACTGGTGCACTGGTGGCAGGAACTGCAAGCAGTTTCATAGACACAAGATAAAGCCTGGGGAAGATCTTTGCATGTTTTTGCCAGAAATCCATACAGTCAACTTCTTCTTCAGAGCACACCTGGATGTAGCGAATGACCTCATCTTTGCAGGATGTGTGATGGTCTGCTTTTTTCTTGGTACTCTTCTTGCGGTAGCCAGAGAAAAGCCGTGGAGTTTTAGCGGGTACTGGTGGCTCCTCCTCATCTTCTCCACTGCTGCCCTCAGGTATGGTGACTTTCTGAGCCTCAACCAAGAGAAGGTCTGAAAATATTCCACAAAAATGATGGTTAGTTACAATATTATGACGTTAATACACTAAATGCACAGTGGTGATGATTAAGTAATGAATCAATAAAAAGTAAGACAAGATTTGAATATGTTAGATGCATAATGTGATGATAATCTTTTAAATAGGTTAATGTGTATTATTCACCTACCTATCATCATCTCCTTCACCTCACTCTTGACTTCATCTGGTGCAAGGACATCTTGTTCTAGCCAAAAGAGGCAGAATGATGGGTCTAGTAGTGCAGACAACATGTAGACCATATCTCCAAATGGAAGCTCTACGGGGGGTTGTGCTGTTTCATCCATTCGGACATTTGCAAACATCCCCTGGAAACGGCGTTGGAGTGACTTCTGCAGTGCTTTCACTAAGCCAACCAGATGACGAGATGCATTCAGCATATGGATAAGGTGGCTGTTGAGTGAGAGTACACAAGGGAGAGCCGCACTGACAGTCACCACCTTCTCTCCTTGTGTAAGGTCTGTTGCTTGCAGAAATGGGGCTAAAATGTCCACAAGCTCTTTGAGCTGACTCCATTCTCTGGCTGATAAGCACAGGCCTTTATGTCCTTGGGCTTCCAGGAGAGAGTTTAGGCTTTGGGGATCCAGGTCAGTGACTGCCTCCACAAGGCGAAGAGTAGAGTTCCATCGTGTGGACACAGCTGAGGGGATGCTTCGGTTTGCTCCATACTCCGCCTCAAATGCTTCCTTCAGTCTACAAGTAGAATGGAGTAAACTGCAAAATTTTGTCACTTTTGCCATTGCACTGTTCAGCGTTCTTGTCTCCTTTAGTCCATCTCTTACAACAAGCTGCAATGAATGTGCAAAGCACTGCAGCCGCTGCTGCCGACAGCTGCTCTGGATGGATTCCACATCATCCTGGTATTCCTCACTTACTTCCTCCCACATGCAGCTGTTTCCCAGCTCATCTTCATCATCATCTTCATTGTCAGTTTTAGCAGAAGGGAAACAAACTGTGAAGGCTTTCTTCATATTTGAGGCATTATCGCAGATGATGTAATCCAATTTATGTTTTATATTAAAGTTGTCACATATCTCCTCAAATTTCTCACTTATTCTCTCTCCAGTGTGTGACCCAGTGAATCGTTCACAACTTAGGAGAACTGTCTGCAGTCTTCTTGGGCAGTCTTTCTCCTCAATTTCCATGAAGTGGGCTGTTACCCCTAAGAAGCCACGCATGCCCCTGTCAGTCCAGATGTCCACTGTCACAGACACATTGTTAATCTTTTGTAGTTTACATTTTATCTCGGACTCTTTTTCTGCTACTAGCTCACTCAGACGTCTGGTTACGGTGCTTCGACTTACTGGGCAGTATCTCTCCTCTACCACTGACATAAAATTCCTGAAGCTAGGCTTGTCAATCAAAGACAGAGGGAGGTTGCATGAAATGATGAGGTCCTGTATTATGGATTCAGTAATGGCCTTCTGTCTGGGATGCCCCTGGCTGTATAGCTGCACACCTCTTGTCTGGCTTAAGAATGAATCAATGCTGCTCTGTCCCTGTGCACTGGCCCCTTTCTTTGCTCTGTTGAACTCATTAAACCTGCAGATGTCGATCAATCAATATGAAAAGACAACAAGTAAGATGCTTATCTTATAGCAAACAATTTTATGTGCAACAAAGCCCATCTGAAACCACAAGGTCCTGAACTGAAAAAAAAATGGTCTCAGGGTATCAAGAAAACATTGCTAAATTTATAAGCAATAACTAACTTTTTTTTTCACTTACAGAGTGAAAAGAATGAAACTGTAATGTTACATGATCAACAATCATTTCTGTTAAGAATATATATCTCAGCACATTTTCAATGACCACACACTGTACACCCCCCTACACATTTATATTACACACAGGATGTGCGGGTCTAATAAAAGTGTGGAAATGGTAGCCTAGGTCCTGTGTACCTTTACTCTGTCCTCCTGTCATGGCCTACTGTTGTGTGTGTGTGTGTGTGTGTCCTTTTATATGGTTTATGAACGTCAGGGGTAGAAACAAAACTCACTTTTGCACACACAATCTCTCTCTCACACGTCACGCACACACACACGCAGTCACGCAGTCACACACACACACACTCAAGCACACAGACACACACTGTTTACGGGGACTCTCCATAGGCGTAATGGTTTTACTAATGTACAAACTGTATAATCTATCAACCTACACTAACCCTACCCCTAAACCTACCAATCACAGAAAACTTTTGGCCTTTTTTGAATTTCAAAAAACACCATTTAGTATGTTTTTTAAGCAGTTTGGTTTATGAGGACACAGATTTACATTTACATTTATTCATTTAGCTGACGCTTTTATCCAAAGCGACTTACAATTGCTATATATGTCAGAGGTCGCACGCCTCTGGAGCAACTAGGGGTTAAGTGTCTTGCTCAGGGACACATTGGTGACTCACAGTGGATTCGAACCCGGGTCTCTCACACCAAAGGCATGTGTCTTATCCACTGTGCCATCACCACCCCTACAGATGTCCTTATAAACCATGTTTACGTTGTAATACCCATGTCATTATACACATTTGTGTCCTCATAAACCATATACAAGAACACACACACACTAACAGTAACTTAGGCCCTGACAGGAGGAGGACAGAGTAAAGGTACAGAGTAAAGGACCTAACATTTCCACACTTTTAAAAACGTTTTTTTTTTTTTTCACTTTTTGAAAACGGGTCGTATAGACCCGAACACCATACAAGGGTTGACGCTATAAACGCTCATTTGTATTTCATAAGGAAGACAAGACAGTCGGAGTTAACCTCCCATAACCGTAGCTAAAGCAAGAAGCAAGCTAACGGTAACGTTAGATGGTCAATGCTGAGCTAAACATGTTTACTGACCTATCAGGATGCGTTTTCAGATGCCTGATAAAATTCGATGTGGTGGAGCCAGAATCTTTGATATTGATACCGCATATTTTGCATATAGCGCTTCTTTTATTTGGGCCTTCTTGTTTAAAATTTTTGTATCCAAAGCTTGCGATGAATGGCACAGCAGTCGACATGTTCGTTGTCCTCCTCTCATGTGTACTGTGGTCGCGCGCGCGCAGCAGATACGTAGTACGTCATGTGTTACGTGGGCAAGTTATAGGTAATGGAGGGAGGGGAATAACAGCGAGCTCGTCAGACGTTTCCTAAAAATAAACATTGTTCACGAGTCCCGCAGCTCGAGTCCGAGTCGAGTCTGAAGTCTTTCGAGGACGAGTCTCAAGTCGAGTCTGAAGTCACTGTGTGTGCGACTTAAGTCGCACTCGAGTCCGAGTCTCAAACTCGAGTCCCCATCTCTGATGTGACTCAGCGGTAGACTATTGTTTTGTAACACTTGTGTGTTTACTCATGGTTTACTCATGGTACAGGTAACACACACAAGTGTTTTTAACAATAGTGTACGGCTAAATCACATTTAGTAGCAATAACATAATTTCACTTAAAGGTGCTTTATGTATTTTTTAGCGGCCTCTATCGGTGATGTTTCAGATTGCAACCAATTTTTACAAGAGCGCTTGTGCTCTTGTGCGTGCTCGAACACAAGAGCGAGCACTCATGGTACCGGCCACACTGAGACTTTCAACACACCGGAGAAAGCATCACACAACATGCTGGAAACTCATGTAAACTCCCACTGTAACGTTACAATATTAGCCTACTTTTATCAGCTTGACGTTGAACTAATGCTCCATGCTCGTACCATGATAATGTTACATTTGTGGTGTTATCTAGCATAAGGCATTTCACTAACTATTTGTGTATCTTTCACAATCAGCAATGTCAACATAGGTGAATGTATAATATGATAACGAAAACGGTTAGTGAACTAGACTGAACAATTTCAGTGTAACAGTAAGATCGTAGGAAGTAACATTACTGTACTGAACGTGTTTGGAAATGTGTATTATAAACAATATGATAGTAGTGGGATGAGTGACGTTAGACAGTAGATCTAGTACATAAAATAAAAGTTACATCCTAAAGCACCTACTTTTTGTTATCCTGGAACAGTCTTTTGTATTCATTTCATATCTCATGTATGTTGTAGTTTACCTTGCTATTTCATTACAGTTTACCATTATTTATTTCAGCATATCTGAAAACTTGTAATTTATCACAATAAAAATAGCGGAGGTCTCTCCATAATTCAAACGCTCTGCCGATGTTGATCCGTGTTTTTGTCCTATGTCGATCCGATTCACATTTGGCCTGACGAGCTTCAGCAGATCAATTTTTGTTTTGTTTTTTTATATTTATTTGGAGTTTGTGTTGGAGTCTGTGTTGTGCTGGAGGCAGGTCGTTTTTGGGTGTTATCAGACTCCATGTCGTTAGCTGCAGTGCCATCGCATAGACTGTATATAAGGAGAGAGGCTCGGGAGCGCGCATGCACGTCACATCCGATGGATTTCGCAGAAAATCCGACCCAGAGACTTCACATAGAAATAGGAATACTGGCCTTCAGAGGTAATAGCAAAACCCGACAAGTGGATCATTGTAATGTGTGATTACAACCCCTTCACACACAGGCAATAAAAAAAGGATTCATTTTAGAAGAAAAGTTACATATAGCACCTTTAACTCTCTGGGGTCGGCAATCACGCCGGCGTGATCTGCTCGCTTTTTTTCTTATCAGTGCAAAAGAGACTCAAAATACTCGGTTGATTTTGATCTTACATTTAAGTGTTATACATCATTAGATCCTGTTAAGTTTCTATTTTTTTTGTGGATACTCACAATAAAAACAAAGTGTTGTGCTTTTCACCAAATAAAGAAAAACAAACATGATGCGAGTTCTGCGTTCTCTCTGTCAGTGAAGTCCATTCTGAAACGCGTCCTAAGATTAACTGTAACTCCGCGATTACTTGTCACACAGGCACGAGAGATTTTTCTTTATGAAGCTTGAATTCTCTTCTTTTAACTGAAGTAATTTATATAAAAAACAAATATTCTCAGTTTATGCAATCTGTATGAAAAGAGAGTGCTGTCAGTATTTTTTTTCCCAGCTCATTACACTTCATTACGCGTTAATCTGACACGCCCACGGAGGACGCGCGCTATTCAAACGCAAATGTCGAGGCAAGCCATGACAATGCCCACATCAGCCGTTCCACCGCGGCGGTAAAATGTGTGGTGTATTTGCTGCCTTTTACCGCTAAGAGGCGCTACAATCATAGACTCTGAAAAGTGTTTGTTTATTCCGGTTTATTCTCTCTAATGCGTAATCTGCTGCCGCACCGCGGCTGATTCAGAGCGATTGAAAGCTGGTAGCAGATGAATTCAACAAGTGAAACGTAGTTAAAATAATTCATAATCACAATACTGAAATTAGGCTACTGAAATGTAATTGAATAAATAATGAAAACATTTCAACATAAAACCTTGCAATAAAAACATTTAGGCTAAATCAATGAGGCTTTACAACTTTAACAGCGTAGCCTACAGACGGTAGCTCAATGATCAACGCAACAACACGAGCTTCGAGGAGCTTCAATAGACCCGAGATCGAATCTCAATGTAGCATAGGCCTACATGTTGTTAACCGATGTTGTCCTACAGCGTTTATATTTTCCCACCTTGATGCTTAAATAGGTAACTGTTTATATCTGTTTACTTATTTAAAGTCAAGAGTTTTGTTTGATTATCATTACAACATAAATTTGCTACATTCCTGTAGAACCGCAGCCGCCAAAGAAATTACAGCTAAATTAAACAATTAAAACAGTACAAAACGAAAATTGTCCAAAGAAACATAATTAAATTAAAAACATGCGTTTCTCTTTGCCTCTCTCGCGCTGGATCTCTTTTTAACAAGTTTATTTAGTCTCCCTCGCTGCGCGCGCTGGGTATCTCTCGAAATTAAACATCAGGGTAAAAACACATCATACAGCTGATAATACTGTATATGTAGCTACGTGTCAGCCAACGCCTACAAATCACGAAAAAATTATTTAGCCTTTAATTGTTGCTTCAAAGACACAGCATGCCTTGTTGAATTCACTTTACAATAACTTAAATTGAAATTTTGTGTGAAAAAAACTTTAAATAGGCTACAATAAATAAACTACAATATTTATAATTTAATAAGATATGGGGCCTACATTTGGACACAGATTTATCCTTACAATAATTTTGCCAGCTCATCAGGCTGGCTATCCGACACTCTCCATATGAAAGAGGAACATTAACACCTTTGTCCAGCAACTGTCCCTCCAACCCCCCACAGGCTATCGGAGTCTGAGGGTGACTTAACACAAAGAGAAGTCGCAATTCACACTTAATCGCTATTCTAGACAGTGTTGATAATGAAGGAATTAAATTATTTAAGTTACATGTAGCCTAGTGATATTTCTGTCATAAAAGTTTATTACTAAATATTTCATTATTTCAATAATTGATGAAATAAAACTGGTTTGGGCCAGCTTTTTCCAAGAAAAACTAAATATAATCTGAAATAACGCATGTTAATTTGTTGTCATGAACAAAATATTCAACTCAATATTAAAGTCTACAGGGATCTTTGGATCCTTACAACCAGGCATGCAATTTGTGAATTAAGTTTTTATTTTATTTTGTATTATTCAAATAAATATTGAAACACGGTGCTTCGTGGTAATGCTGCTAAATTAAATAAAATTTATAGAATAATTATGA